AAGCTGAAGCTCGCGATTATGGTAAGGGGCGTTACATTTCCGACTCGTGCTTGTGGTGTTCGGCCAATCACAATGCCCTGGGTCAGCTGGCCAATCAGAGCCAACTGTGCTTGTCAGAAGGAGGGGCTTTGTAGAAAACAACGCATTTGAGAGAGGCGGTGCATATAGGAACTACAATAATGTACAGTATTTGAAAAATAATGTATTTTTTGAACATTAAAGCATGTCAACATATTCTGTTACACCAAATACACAAAATAATGATCTTTAAAATAAGCTTGCGCCAACAGTTGTACACGGAAGCAGTTCCGGGCGGATGAATTACGAGGTTAGTGTTGCGCATGCGCCAGTGAGTCTCGTGAAAATCAACGTTTGTTTACAGGAGCAAAGGAAGCAAAGTTTCCTTACTTTAGCAAAGGAAAACCAGTCTCCTCTTGGCTACACACCCTAATTTTCATTTTTGGGTGAACTAACCCTTTAAAGCATGTCAACATATTCTGTTACACCAAATACACAAAATAATGATCTTTAAAATAGCATCATATGACCCCTTTAATGTATGCAAAAATAAAGTTTAAACATTTTTGAAACAGTGTCTCTACCTAGTGGTCGAAAGGATGTAACTGCTAATAGAGAAATGGTCTTTTCTGCCATTTTGAACTGGACTGGATTTTTTGGTTACAGCTGATGACAGATACAGTTGGAAATCCAGAGGAAGAGAGAAGAGCAGAGTTTTATAACCAGCCCTGGTCTCAGGAAGCTGTCAGCCGCTACTTCTATTGCAAGGTGAGGGGTACATGCAAATGAATCATGTTAGTGACAAAAGTTTAGGGTCAGTAAGAATTATTTGAAAGAAATGCATACTTCTATTCAGCAAGGATGCATTAATCGAATCAAAAGTGACAGTAGAGACATTTGTAATGTTACAAAGATTTTATTTGAATTACATGCTGTTCTTTTGAACTTTCCATTCGTTAAAGAATCCTGAAAATATATCACTGTTTCCACAAAAACATTAAGCAGCAAGCTGTTTTCAAATAAAGTTTCTTAAGCAATAAATCTGCATATTAGAATGATTTCTGAAGGATCATGTGAGGTTATTTTAAATTGCATTTTTTTTTTTTTTTTTTGCTTCTGATGTTAGAATCAAAAGTGGTCATTTCACTTGCTCTTTTTATTTACAAATGTATGTTTCTTTTCTTTTATGTAGATTCAACAACGAAGACAGGAGCTTGAACAAGCTTTGGCAATGCGAACCACCTAAAATATCTCATTTTCAAAAATAAGTTGACAACTAGTTTGCTTCACCTGTGGCTTGGTCACTTTTATTCTGGTGGTCTCCACACTGGGCAGTTTTCTATGGACATGAAAGTATTAGACCCCTTCTCAGTATGAGGTTTGGACTGATTTTAACCAATGAGGGTCACTGAAAAGTGTAATTATACTCGTATTTAATGTATGTTTACTGTACAGTTGAATGTATATAACCTCACAGTACAATGAATTTAAGAAAGTGGTTTGGAAATGGCACTTTCACACTGATTACACACAAATACAGCAGCTATCATAATTGTTTTTACATCAGTTTTTTGTCTGATGTAATATACACTGTGTCTTCTGACTTGAAAAGGTAGAAAATACAATGAATGAAACTTTGATGCCTGGGAATTTTTGTAACTATTAATGTCATGCTAAATGTTAGTATGTAAGTATCGATATTGAATCTGTCATGTTTTTTCTACATGTTTAAATATTTTGTCACATTCTGCTTTCAGCTTTCTCCTTTGTTTTTCTGTCGTTAAATTTGCACTGTGCAAAAGATATGAAGAAATCCACTGGATGAAAATCAGCCAACTTTATTTGCAATAAGTGACATTTATTGTCATAATTTTAACACGTTAAAGAAAACACATTCAAGGTAAATCATTCTGATTTGTGAACACTTGGGTTTACAATACCAATTTTTGTGTATTGTTAAAGACTTCAAAAATCATTGTTCATAAGCAGTGTTTATAAACGATGTTTGAAAACATAATTTTCAGAGGCTTTAAATGCCAGTAAAACAAAATATGTTCTAAATATATTGTGTGTTGATAAATACAGTAACGCATGTTGCATGTGAATATTTTTGTTTTTTTAGGAGTTTCTTTTTTAGCATGATTCCGAAATGTTTTGGATCTTTGTTGCCTTATTAAATCACTGATATGCACAGGAAGCATCAACCAAAGGTACAGTTACATCATCTTTGTGAATGCCAATAAATTACTTAATTTTACTGAATATTCCATCACACTAGTTGATGGCATTTGTATACCTGTGGCCTAAGATGTGCTTGATGCACAGATGACAAATAAATCTGATACTCATGAATGTCAAGAGGTGTTCATATTCAGAGGCATTGACCCTTTACCTTTTAACAAGACATTCTTACTGTGTTATGTATATTATTTAAATGTGTGTCTGTAATGGACATTTTGAACAAGATTAATAAAATAAATACAAATTCATGACCATTATCGTCGTTAATCCAGTTCACAAAACCAGTCTGAATGATTCATTCATGAATCGAAACCTCATTCGCTTTCATTACATTTAAAAGGTGTATGGTATAGATAATTCTTCAAAAAAAAAAATTTTTTTTTTTTTTGCTCTATGGATGACAACGTCATGGGGGGTTGCGAAAACATGAGTAAATAGTGATAGAATTGTATTTTTTGTATGAATTGTTCCTCTAGCAAAAAAGGGTACTATAAATTATCAGCATATAGCTTGACCTTGAAATTATAATTTCTGTATGATTCACATTGCTAGTTGATTATATTACTCATTTTAGGTCATTGTGTGTGACTACTAAACCGTGAGACAAACCACGCCCAGATAACGCTCTCCCGTCCATATGCAAAGCAGTGGGTGGAGAGTTCTAATGTATCGGCCTCTGATTGGCTGCCGTGCCGGTATTGGTGACACGCGCCTCTTACCGCTTCTAGCGCGAGCCATGATGAGATCGCTTCTCTGGTGCTAGCGCTTCATCAGGAAGAGAGCTAGGTAAGACAACGGCGCAATTCCACTAAAGGTATTTATTTACTCGTGTTAACTATCTATATCTGTGATGATCGGTATCTACAATAAACTCATACCTCATTTAATTTTGTTCTCCGGACATCTTTCGGATTAACAGGCTAGTTTTACCGGCTGTTAGCTCGCCGGCTAGCTCGTGGTAACAGACTAGCGTGCGCTCCTCAACTAGTCTTAACATGTTTTTTCGATTGATTCCACATTGATTTGCTGAACTTTTTTGGAACAATTTGGATACAAACTGCAGTTGTTCTATGTCCAGGGAGCAAGATTTACTCGTGATCTGGGATACACCGGTGTTTTATGGTTAGAGTTAGCATGGTAAAGTGTCTCATTGGTCGGGCCTTAGAGTTAACAGACATGCTTTATTCTCTTAAGAGTAGCGGCTCCGATTTTTCGCTATATTATCCGTTATTTGTGCTTTTAAAATTCATCGCGATATCATAGGTGTAATTTGCCGTGGAGTCTTTGTTGTGCCAGTATCACTTCACCATTGCAGTTATTCGCCTACACTGCGTCAGGGAAAAGTACTGGCCGGCTCCACGTGAGCCGAGTCGAACCACTGCCCTCTGGTGCCTGCAGTTCGGTGGATCTTAAAAAGAGACATTAAAACAACCCTGTGAACAAAGTTTAAGTTAAGACGAATCGAATGTTGATTGAACAGGAAGTACGTTTGGAAACACTGTGTACTTTGTAATGATTTTTTTTCCATAATCTTATGAGAGCATCTTTACCCCCAACCAGTCTTTTTTTGTCTCTCTCACAGTTTTTCAGAGGTGTTCTGTTCCTGGTATTCAGTTAAAATGCCATCTGATTTAGCAAAGAAGAAAGCGGCAAAGAAGAAAGAAGCAGCCAAAGCTCGTCAACGTACAAAGAAACCAGAGGATGGAGTGAATGGTGATGCAGAGAAACCGGAGGACCAGCAGAATGGAGCGGCTGAGGTCAATGGTAAGGAGAAACATTCAAAGGCAGTCTTAAAGCCTGTTCACACCAAAACAACAAAAATACAATGCAAAAATTTGGTGTGATGAACATTTTAATTTGAATAAATGTCTGTTAATATGTCTGGTCAGACTCCTTTTTTTTTTTTTTTTTTTTTAAAGAATTTTTTAGAGAATAAGATTTGTTTTTGGTCATGTGCCCTGGAGACACTGCTGTTACATAACCATGACTTGGTGGCGCTTGCTAACAGGATATTGCTAAGCGACAATGAAAAACTGAAATAATTCAAAAATGACTCTTCTCTCTGTATCTGTGTTATTCGATAAACCTCATAGCAGATTAAAAAACAGCTATTTGAAAAAGTTAATATTGATTGTTTCTTTGCTACGCTATTGACAATGGATTTCGCACCTTTGCTAGGGTATTTCTGCTTTTCTGTAAGTGCCACCTACTGTCGGAGTGTGGATTTGCATTTTTGTTCAGCCTGCCTGTTATTTTTTTATGCATTGCAGTGTTAATTTCGTTGACGAATAATTTTCGTCATAATTGTCGTCAACGACATTTTTTTAACCGACGATAACGAACTAAAACTCTTTTTGAATGACAAACTATGACGTAAATCTATTGACATTTTCATCAACTAATAAAAACGAGACGAAAATGTTAGGGAGGGACGATTTGGGATGAGATTCATTCAGAACGAATCTGCTGCGTGGTTCGGAGGTTAGATGCGTACATATGAACCGGCGGGACATAAGCTAAAATACACTTGCTGCACGTTGCATAAAACGTTCAAAAAATGTCAATATGTGGGAGCAAGAGAAGAGCAGACATATGGATAAATCTGACGACACAAGAGAGAACTCAATTCGGTCCGGTTTTCTGAGCGCAGACACTGAAGCATACACACACAGAAAGCGCGTCTCACAGCGCGCGAGTACTCTTTCGCGTCGCATGAACGGAGAATTACACACAAAATGATGTCGAATTGTCCGTTTTGACGAGTATTCACGTAAAC